TGGGTCATGGGGAGGGGGGGAAACCTTGGGAATATGAAGTGAATTCAAAGGACAGCAAAATCATAGGCCAAAAGTCCAAATCCCACAACGTTCAATAAACCTTTGCAGGCCCTTGAAACCTTTCTGCAAGTGTTTAATACTCAAGATTATTCACAAAACCGAGGCAGCACAGACTGCCCAGCTGGGAGCCCTGTCTCCTTGAGCAGGATTGATGATGACTCCTGTCCCTGGAAGGAGGAATGACTGGGAGCTGGAACTGGAGAACGGCTCAATCCCACTTTCCATGTGCAGTCGATCTCTGCTGGTGTGTTTGGGGTTTGAATTCGCTGCTGTTGCCAAACTCAGCCAAGTGGGTACCTTCTGAGTTGCTCTGTTTTCAAACCCAGACAGTTGTTAATGAAACAGTTGCTGTTTTGTTGACAGAACATTAATTACTTGATCTTAGGACTTGGTAATTGCAGGGGCCCCCTCTGTATACATCACTAATTACATTAGCAATTATATGGCATTTTAAAGACAAAGAAATGACTGCAGCAGTTGCAGTGTCACAGGGACCCTGCTGGTAAATTCCAATCAAGTTCCTGCAATGGCAGCGAGGTGTTGGGAGAAGTCCTTCTCCATCCCAATCCTACAGAAACACCACTTTCTTATGGAATATTGTTTCAGCCACTTAGAGCAAAGAGTCTCCAGAAAAGGTGCTTGAATTTCTCTTCATGGGTAGTTATGTTCTCCAGATCCAACACATCTTCCAAAGGTTGCTTGCTGTTGGAAATATTCCTTTCTCTATTAATCAGAGAAATAATTGAGTCATATCTTAAAAATCGTGATCTAAATTAAAAATAATCAGCATTGTAAACATACTCATCAATGCCTTTTGGAAAAGGTGCACTTTGTTTCTAAGGATCTTCCTTTGCAAGTTAATAGGGCAGAAAGTTACTTAAGGAGCTGCTATTCCTGTGCCTCCAGAAGTTGGAGATTTTTAAAATTGGGGATAACTGTGATGCTGGGAACTGGCAATGCAGAGTGTTTGCAAAGCCACCATGGCAAAGTGTAGACAGGCTCTTGTCTTGTGAGACAGAGCTGCAAAAAGCCCTTAATTTAAAGCAGCAGCACCCTTACAGAAGGTAAATAATGGACAGAAGGACACAGTTCAGGCACTGCTGCCACTCCAGCCTCCTGTCCCACCTCCTCGGGCTCTCTGGGTGGACCTTGTTAACTTGAAAAGTGGTTGTAACTTCTTTGGCTCAGGAAATGTTTCCCTGCTGTGTTTATCATCCCCCTCCAGGGTGGGCACGGGTTTGGAGACCCTCACATGTGCCTGTGGTGGGAGGGGGCTGGAACTGGTTGATCTTTAAGGTCCCTTCCAGCCCAAACCATTCCACGACTGCAGCCTAAAGTTGGGTGCTGGGATGGGTGAGAACATGAAAGAAACCCAGTGCTTGTATTTTTTCCCCACTTATTCTGTGTTTCTGGTTTGCAGGCTGGAGGGGTAGGCACTGATGTGGCCAGATCAGAGATGGCATAGATTGGTCCAGCTCCACAGTTTGGGATTGCAAGAGCTGAGGATCCATCTCTGGGCAACTTTGGAGCTTGCAAGCAGGGAGAGGTGGAATTATTGCCAGCAGATAAACTCTCTTGTGCTGTTTATTCTCCAGTTCCACTCCCCTCTCCTTTTTACCGTTCCTCAGGAACTATTGCTGTATATAATTCCTAACCAATTCTACCCTGAATTCATTAAAACCTCGATTCATTATTAAGTTTGAAGCTGCCACTGATTTTAATGGTGGCAAAATTACAGCAAACACCTCATTAGAGAGGCAGTTACTAATTGCTGGTCAAAGCTGAATAGCAACAACCCCTGTGTCCACCCTGGATTGAGTTTGACAACACAGAAACGAGCCGGATGAGTTTCCCCCAAGTCCACAAAGCACAAACCTTGCCAAACTAACAAGGAAACAACACCTTCCATCCATGTCTCCCCGTGGAACAGGACCTGGAAAAGGGCAGGCTGGAGTTTCCTCACCCCCAGCTCTTTGTTGCTGCTGTAACTTTGCACAAACCCAAAGCAGGACAGCTCAGATTTCCCTTTCCCACCCTCCCCTGGTGGTGCTTCCCCCAACCTTCTAATCTTGCCTCCATGGGACAGGATTTGGTGCTTTCCTCTCTGAGAGGGGGAAGTGTTGGGTTTCCCCTTCCCCTGATGTTTGGCTCTGTCCTGGCTGCTCTGTCAGCACCCTCTGCCAGGGCCACCAGCTGCTGGTTAATCCAGTCCTGCTCGTGGAGTTAATGAGACATTCCTACTTAACTAACCCTCTGCACATTAAAGCTTCGGATCTTTGCACCTCAACAGCTGGCTGTTGTCACAGAGATAAATATTTTAACTGCTCTGGCAATTCTTTCCCCCCCTCCCACCCCGGGGGTTGCCCTGAGTGAGGGGCTGGATGAGCGGCTTTTGTTTCGCTGTTTGTTAAAGGGAAAATCAGATTTTTTTACCAAGAGCCACTTGGAAAAGACGTGTAGAGGAGGTTAAAAAAGGAGGGTGGGAGAGGATGTGCTGCTCTGGAAGGCCTTTCTGAACCTGGCAACTGTGCCCAACCTGCACAAAGACAACCAGACAAAGATAACCTGCAGGATCACAGGCCACTCCTAGGAGAGTTCCCATTATCCCAGTTCCTTTGGTGTTCCTGATCCTGGACAAATTACCAGCCCCCCAGCTGCCTTGCCTTTGGAAAAGGGGCACTTTCTGCATCTGATGTGACAAAGGGCATTAAATTCTTCCCTCAGAAGAATCTCAGCAATGAGATCTTCGTGTCAAACCTGCTGAGCCAAGGACTTCATGGGACTGAAGGTTTCAGGCCTTTATTGGTCTTAATGTGGACCAAGAAAAGCCTTTTCCCCCTGGCTTTTAAAAATAGAGGAAGACAGATAATGGAACAGGTTCACCAGGACACTGTCCCTGATTTGAGCTTTTTGGGGTGTTTTAATAGAGATTCTCTTTCAGTGCAGATAGTCTTGCATGGTTTAAGCTACTTGGGGTTGGAGAGAGTTGTTTGTTGGGGGTTTTTATTCTGAGTTAAGAGCTTAATTTTTTTTTTTCCCCTGAAAACCTCATGTATCCCCTCCCACAGCATTTCCTTTGGAAGTTGCTCAGACCCCAGGACAGCTCTGAAGGCAACCCCCGTGACACCCCAGGAGCCCATGTTGTGTCTGTACATCATCAAGTCCCTAAAAGAGGCAACAAAAGAGGGAGTGGAGCAGCAGCTCTCCAGCTTTCATCTGCACAACAAACCTCCTGCCTGCGTTGAACAGCAGGTCACTGTTGAAGGCTGAGAATCTCTTTGACAGGAACTGGTGGTTTTATCACTAAAATCAACACTTAATACACTGCTGGGATTTCGGGGGGGGCAAGGGGGGAAGAGCTGAATCAGATTTTCAGGAGAATGGGCCTCTGTTCCAGAGGATATTTCACCAGGACAGTGGACAACTTGGGTTTCACTGCTGGCATGAAGGTCATCTCCTAATGGCACGTTCTCCTGGAAGGAGTAATTGAGGCAGATCACCCCAAAATTCCCTGGTTTTCCCTCAGCTTTTGGCTGATGGTGCCTCGTGTTTGCTTTCACTGACATCTGGCAGTGGTTTAAACACTGACTCATATTCTGTCCTTAGTCAGAAAATGTCAGGAGAAGTGGCTTTCACAGTGCAAATTTTCATCTGGTTGAACCTTTCCAGTAATTTTCACCCCAGAAAATGGAATATTCCTGGGTTAGAAAATCAATGACCATTTCCCAAGCATTTTTCAGTGCTCTGGTTTATCCATCCCTGTGACTGAAGTGTTCACTGCACAAGAGGGAAGAAAACACACTTTTTACTTTGTTTTTTTTTTTCTTTGAGCCAGTGTGACTCTGCAGCCTAAATTTATTGTTTGCTCAGGGCTGTGCACAAAGATGGTGCCTAAAACAGGAGCAAGGAGCCCAAATCTAGTCCAGGATCAGCCAGTCCCGGGTTTGGTTTTTGATTTTGTGCTTTGACCAATTGTCACAAAAAGGGAAGGTATCCAAAAAGGACTCCCCCTGTCCTGCTTTTCAAGGCCTTTCTTCCCCAAAAAGGACTAAACTCTCACACGGTGTCCATTTATTCACCAGTTGTAATAAAGGTCATAAAAGACCATTAATTATTACCTTGTTCCATGGCCAATAATTATTATCTTATTCCATGACCAATATAACCCAAATCAGGCTCTACCAGATGATGTGTGGATGTTTTACAGCCAAGCATGAAAACTTGGTTTTAAAACCCTCCCATACATAATGATTAAAATTTTGGAGTGTTATTGTTGCCCTGAGTGAGCCATAAAGATGAGAAAGAATACGGAATGTGATGAAATTAAGATAATTCCCCCCCTTGGTTTACAGTACAAAAATTTTATTTTTTTTTTTTTTTGTTAGGATAATTTAAAGTTTAAAACTGAAGTAGACATAATTCATTTTACAAACAAGATATTCTTCCATAAGTAGGACCGTTAAAAACAGTAAACAAAACAACAACAACAACAAAAAAAAACCACCAAACCCCCCAAAAAAAGCCTATCTTTACAAAAGCTCTGTGCATAGCAACTTCATACTGTGGATAACTGACAAAGCAAAGAAACCAAAAAAGAAAAAACCAACCAGCCAACCCCAAACCAACCCCAAAACTATACAGGAGGGAGAGAAATGAGGCCTTAATTTACAGGAGGTTTTGAAAAAAACCATGCATATTGGAAGTGTGCAAAGAAATAGGGGAGAGTAAGATGCTCTACCAAGATAAATAAGGAAACCAAATGTACCCTTCCAAAGTTCTGGTAAAATTTGCAGTCACCTCTTGTGACACTTCCACCTTTCTAGTGGCAGAGAGGAAAGTCTCGACAGCAAGAACTAAAAGAGGGCAGATTTGCTCATTACATTGAAAAAGAAAAAATCCCTACACGTCAATTTTTACATTATTATTTTTTTTGTGTGTGTCCCTTTTGTTGGGTGTTTTGCCAGTGCCAAAGTCCTCCTCTCGTGGTTGAGGATTGGATTGATTTATTTACACACCTTTTTCTCTGGGAAGCTCCCAGTGAGTTCTCCCCTCCAGCACCTCCAGCACCACGATTTCCACTCCTGAGCAAAACTCACGCTCTAAATCATTCCTATATTTAATTATTTTCACTTTTTTTTTTTGGCTCAAATCAAACCAGGAGAAGCCATTTTTCCACGTTTGCATCAACACTTCCTGCAAAAACTTGGAGCAGCTTCCTAGGGAGGTTTTCTTTTCCCCCCGTGGCAACTCGAGCAACTGGACAGAGCTCATAAAACCAACTGGAGTGTGACAGGAATGTGGAATGTTTCAGGAACTTTCCTTGTTTGGTTTTGTTTTCTTTTTTATTTATTGCCAGCCTGTAAATTTTCCCCCCCTGAATCTTCCCAAGCCTTCAGTGATGTGGTGGATCTTTTTTTCCACGTGCCTGCGCTGACTAAGCAATAATCAAAAAAGAAAGGCTGGACAAAGAGGGGTTTTTTTGCCATGAAATATCTCAAATTTTTTAAAATTGGAAGCCTTTCTGATTGATATTTTGTAATGAAAGTCTTATTTGTTAAAAAACAACAACAAAAAAAAAAGTAGCAGGGGGTCTAGAAATTTCTGTTGGTCCGGAATGTTTGTTGGACTTGGAATTTTGAATCTGTTTGATGATAAGTTTTAAAAGTAGCCCGTGCAGAGCAGGGCAGGGGGGGAAAAAATCCACCATTGTAATGCTTTGGAGCTGTTTGGGGTGTTTTAGTAGGTCAAAATATAAAAATGAGCCTGATCCAAGATAATTTTTTTAAATTTAGGGCTCAATGTAGTTTTCACTGAAATTTATGGGAGGTTTAATCCCAGCTCTACTAACGCTCAATCTGGGTTTTATGGCCAATCCCAAACATGAATTCAGACCTCCCAGTCTCGCTGGGATGTTGGTACCTATGGATGTATGAAATATTTTGGGGGTTTGGAGGGGTTTTTGTGGCTGTTTTGCTGTTCTGAACATCCACGAGCAGGTCAGACCCTGTGCTATCAAAGGTGAACCTGCAGCGACAGCTCCAGGCTTCCCAACACCTGGCATTCCTTCATATTCCAGGGATCACTTGGCTTTGGGGTTGCTGGTTGCCCCATCCTTGGTGGCACAAAGAACCCACAGTGTCAATCAGAAAGCTGAAATTCTTTTATTTCACCTTTTTCTGGAGTGCAGACACTTGGTGCAGCCTGGCTGGAAGCCCCTAACTATGTTCATGCTGCTTAAAAACACATTATTCCCACCAAACCTCCCTAAAATCCCTTCTCATCTGATATCATAGACCAGGCCTTGGGTTTTAGAAGACAATAAACCCGCTGCCCCCTTTTAAAATGGAATATAACAGCACTGAGAAGGCACCTCAGGAAGACCCCCCCAAACCTCCCAGCCCAGCCAGGGATAGAAAATTCCTTCCCAACAAGTGGAACATCTTCAGGAGTGAGCAGAGCAGCCCAGTTTGTCTCTGGTTAAGAAACCCATCCTGTGCTTCCTAAATCCATTTAAATCCATTAAATCCATTTCTGCCATCAGCTGACCCCTGGGAAAGGGAGTTCCAAGTTGTCCCAGCTCCACCATCCCACGTCCAGAACATCTTCTACCACAGCTAAGGATCACCAAGGACACAGTTTTCCTCACCCATCCCTAAAACTACTGGGCACATGGACAAGTACAGGTTCAAGGGGCCATATGAAGATTTATTTATTGACATCCAGGCATTTCCATAGGGACAGCTCTCCATGGGAACTGTGGGGTTTTGATGGGGTCTCTGCAGTGGAACTCATTTTTTTTCCTCCACTAAAAATGGCTTTCCAACAATCCAGTGCTTTTGAGTGGTTTAGTCAGATAAGCAGTGATTTATTTTATCAGGCTGGTTCTCACCTTCCAATTTCAGGAGAGGAGATGCAAAGGAGAACTAAACTTGTGTTGTGTTTGGTTTTTTTTTTTAACCCTAAAATGCAGAAAAATCCAAAGCAATCGATTACCTCTATGAACTTCAATATATAACTGGAAAATACTTACCATTTTTAATGACTCAGGATAAAAGTGCATATATTATTCAAATACATATTCACCCTTGATAAATGCACCCTTTAATATGAAGTATAACTGAACTTAAGGTGTTCTAACTACATGGAAAACCCCGGAGAACCCTTTCCCTCCTAAATTCATACATTGAATCTCTAAAATAATCTCAGTACCTCATGAAAAAACCCGATCCACTCAAATCCCAAAGTGCCACTCGCTCACCAGTTGGGGCTTTGAGACTTTTTAGCAGTTCATCTCAGTACCTGAATATTTTTTTAATTGAGACAAAAAAATCACAAGGTGTTGGGGGGGGAAGATGAAGAGGGGGAAAAATTCATACATGGATTAAAACCACAAAAGTCTGTGATGGTTTTTGTTCATCAGAAAGAATCCTATACATCCTTGCACATGAATTCAGTAAGAAGGGGGGGAAAAAAGTGAGGAGCAGTTGCAGCAGTAATAATAATATCTCAAACTTATCACTACATTTTTGCATCATCTTTCTTCATTGTACAGCTGGAGGAAAAAAATCCAAAAAAAGGGTTTTAATTTCTACCTCTACATACAATAAGTTACAAGTTTATTTATTTAAATAATTGTAAAACATCTTACATTTTTTTTTAAAGAGGTTAAACTATAAGCAAATACACACATACACCAAAGTTCCATCATTCATGTCAGTTTGTCCTAGAAATTCTTTCATGCTGGTACCCTGTTTTGTTGAATTGTTTGTTTTTTTTTTCTGCATAAACTAAATCGATATCTGAAAGGCTCCATAGAAAATAGAAACTTCAGCTTTTTACCCCTACAAAGTAAAACAAATTGTATCCAAAATATCAAGCTTGAATCGTGTTTTTTTGCCAATTTTTTTTTTTTTTTTTTTTTTTTTTTTTTTTTTTTTTTTTTTTTTTTTTTTTTTTTTCCTTTGAATATTTTACAAATCTCAGGAAGGTTTTTGTGTCTTCCAGGAAAGACTTTGCATTTCTGATTCCGTTCTGCTGACTCTTGTTCATCCTGGCTCTGGCTGATTCTTCCTTCACAACGTTTGAAGAGTTGATGTGGTTGTGTCAGAAACGTTAAACAGGTAAAAGATGCAGATTTCTGTCTTGTCCAATCCATAAAAAATGTTCCTTTTTTTTTGTTGGTTCATTTTTTGTTTGTTTGTTTGTTTGTTTTTCCTGGGCCTGGCTTTCCCTTCAAAAAAAGAGCTTGTAGTGCTATTTTTTTTTCATTTTAGTGGTCCATCACAATAAGTAGTTTTGTGCTGTAAAAGAAAAATGAAATAAAAAAAAAAAAGAGGGAAAAAAGGGAAGAGGGAGAGGAGGCAAAGCTGCCCCTTCCTTACATCGGGGGAACGACAAGACCAGTCATGGCTGCAAAAGAAAATGGACAAAAAGATGAAATTGTGGCAAAATGCTGTGGAACAAAAGATATTTGAGCCCTTCACCCCCTTGTGTGCAGTCAGGAAGGGCCTGAGCTGAGGTTAAATTTGAGATTTGGTGCCTTTGGATGGTTTGATGGTGAAGTGAGAACAGAGATGGGGAGAACTGCCCGTGACACAGGCAATGGCAGTGTGATATTGCAGAGTGAATTCACCAAAGGGAAGGAATTCCTCTCTGGGAGAGTGGGGAGGGCTGGGGTGGAATTCCCAGAGAAGCTGTGGCTGCCCCTGGATCCCTGGAAGTGTCCAAGGCCAGGTTGGAGCAACCTGGGATAGGGGAAGGTGTCCCTGCCCATGGCAGGGGGTGGCACTGAGTGAACTTTAAGATCCCTTCCCACCCAAACCATTCCATGATTCCATGAAAAGCCAAGGCCCACTGTGGTTATTAAACGAGTAAAAGAGGATTAATTCACTCCTCAGTACTTGTATTTTCAGCAAAGTCCACCCATTTTTGCATCCTTATCTCCTGAGGGGGACATTGCTCAGAAATGCCCCAAAAATTCCGACTTCTCTCCCTTTCTCAAACTGAACAGTGAAACCCATCCCTGAAAACCCAAACAGAGCAGGGTCTTCCCTTCCCACCTGCTGGCAGGA